TATATATATATATATATATATATATATCACCGAAGTCTTGAAAGTAATCACGCCTTAACGCTGCAATTCAATACTGAACACATATATGATATTGAATGGTCTAATCTGTATGTTAATCATTTTTCTTGTCTCATCTCATTGGTGTTCAACTTCGGAAATTTTTTGAAGTTGTGAAATGATTTGCAATACTTGAAAGTTGATGAAGAGAGAGTTGAACTGTTTCAGTCGGAAAGTATTTTTCTTCTCAGTAAAAATTCTCAGTTGTATGTTAAATTAGGCAAGAATTCCAGCAGATCGTTCTTGATTGAAGAAGAAATTTAATGAAATTGTTAAATTGGGCAAGAACTTCAACGAGTCAACTTTAAATCACACGGCAATTCTAACGGAACTAATAAATTGGCAAAGAGTCTTAACGGATCAATTTTTAGTTAAGTGAGAATTTCAAACGAACTGCTAAATTGAACTTGTTCTCTGAGGAATCAGTCTCATTTTGCATTTGTCTGTCTGATGATTGTTTATAATGTGCGTTGTGCCGTTTGAAAAATGTTCATATTGATATGGGTTTATCGAAAATCGCATTCAGCATGAACGATAGCGCATTTCAGTCTAGATTCAAGGAGTCATTTAAACCCGTTTGGGAAATAAGCAGCCAGTCATCGAAGAGAACTTAATTGGCTCGTCGAGATGCGCATTGCATATTTCTTTTTTTAGTTAGCGAAGTTCACAGATTTTTCACTGTTATAAAATTTGCACGTTTTTAAGAAGGCCAAGAACGCAAATATATTTTACTATTTTTGAAGTGGGGAAGTGAAACAAATGTCAGCTGAAAGGGGCAGAAATTTTGGAAATCCCGAAGGAATATCTTTTATCATTCCACTTGATTGGTCTTTTATAGGCTAGCTGTTATTGACTCGATCCGGAAAAATACAAAAAATAGCGAGAATTATACGAATCAATAGAATAAGAAATGTTTCCATGGAATTGAATCCGTTGCAAGCAAGAAAAATATTTGCGGCGAACATTTTAACTTTTAACTTACCGATTTGTGCAAATTAATGCGGCGGCGATGTGAATAAAATTTGATTTGAATGCTTTTTAATTATGCTGTTTTGCGTTATTGTTTCGTTTGTTCAGTATTGAGAAGGAGTTTAAAGAAGTAAAGGTGAAGAGATAGTATTTAACAGTGAAATGGTCTTAATGAGTGATTTCCAAAGAGTGGATGTGTTACAGATGACGCTGAAGAGAGTGTGTTCGGTACAGTTATGGTATCGTCGTCAGACGATGTGCTCGCAACATCGTTGCCAGATTCGGGTAATGCGAATATTGACGCGGGTAATGAAATCGGCGATCACCCGTCGCAATCGACCATTAATGTTCTAAAAATCGAAGGTTTGCAGGTGTGTTATGGGTTATTCTTCTCTTCGGCGTTTTGTGCACTTATAAATTTATTGTCATTGGTATTATGAACTGTTTTTGTTATTATTGTTGTTATTATTATTGCTTCAATAATATTTTATTATTTTTTGAATTGTCGGTTCTGTGCGGCGATGAGATTTTAGTCGATGCTTATGTTGCTTATATTAGTTATTTTACGAAGTAAGTTCAAACATGAGGACATGAAAGAATTCGGAAGAAAGTAACCATTGTGTGTTTCGATTTCTGTCAAGCGAACCGAAATCGAAATTAAGTGGTCGATGTTTAGAGCGACAAATCGATATCTATTAAATTGACTGGAAATGATGTTTGCTGTCTGAGACGAGCGTCGGATTAATTTTATGTAGAGAAATAAATTAAGTCTTTGCTCCAGATTAATTTATGCGAAAGAAATAAATCATTGCTTAAATGATATTTCTTCGTGAAAATTAAACAGACAAATGGAAATGTGTTGTAGAATGAACTTGCAAAAGAGCTGAAAGTGAAGGAGGGAATGGAAAGATTTCTGAATATATCGAACACGAATCGTAAATTGCAAGAAGAGACCAAATTCATGCTGGAAGATTCGAAAGCGAAAATCGCATTGTTACGCATGAAAATTGAGCGCATTCAACGGCAAAAACAAGTGGATGATGGCATTTTGTCGGGTTCGTTGATTTGTCGTTTTTTGTTCATTTAGGGGGAAATCACTTATCACTACTGTTTAATTTATCGTGGCTGTTTACTTTGTTGAGTGTAAACTCATGATGCTTTTAATTTTTTGTATTTGAGGTTGTGCATTTATTGTTGTAAATCGATGGTATTTTGGATTTTATTCATTCAGTCATTTGTTTAGTGAATGGTTTTGTTAGTTGTTTATTGAGAGGTGATTTCAGGTAAGCATTTACCAACAAAGACGGAAATGTTGGTCGATGATCTTTTGTACAGATTGCGTAAAGAATCGGCGATTGCTGAGGGTGCACGAAACATGATACGGTAGGTTGTCGTTATTATTACTGTTGTTGTTTTGTTATTATGAATAGGGTTGTTGTCGTCTTTGTTGCGATTGAGTTTCATTTTTTATTGCTTTTGAATTTTTCACTGCTTAAATTGGATTCATTCATTTTTCAGTTGGAATGTTCACTGCGAGATCGTTTTTATTGCTTGTATTGCGTTGAAATTATTGTTTTTGTTTTGTAGATTCTCGTTTCATTAAGAGATTTCATGATTCACTTCATTACCTTACCAGTAGTCAGTTCCATCTGAATGCTCGAGGAATTTATAATTGCGGGAAGCAGAAGCGAGAATTCTCTGACAGACCCAAAAAGTGAATATAACGAAACAATTTCGACTGAAGGTTTCATAATTGATTTGGTGAATCGGTTGTTTAAAAATTTCAAAATTAAGGCCGTTAAATACGGCCATTAAGTAGCGGATAATTGTTCGTAAATGTGATATTCATATGAACGATTAACTCGAATCCCATCAAAATTCACCTCAAATTGCGTTCCAAATCGTTGGCAATAAATGTGACGATGTGGTTGATAATGAGGTCTGGACACTGCAACGTTTCTCGTTCCATCACTCGCATCCACATTAATGAGAAATTTCTCGATTGCATTCGAGCGAATTATCCTCATTCCTCGATTCAGTTCTCGGAAACATTTCGGATATTTTATGGAATATGGGGTGAATAAATGTTACCTTACGCTTTGGAATTGGACTAAAATTCAGACGAATGAAAATTAAATTGAAATTAAACTGAAGAAATAGGACAGACGTAAGAGAATGAAATTGAATTTGTGATGTGAATTCGAGAAACGTTCTGAAGAAACTGTGATTTCGTAAAATCAGAAAAAAGTGAATGTTAATTAAGCAGAAGCGAGAATTAAGCAGAATCATCATGGAAAATATCTAATGATTGTTCCTATATTGTCGAGCGCTGCGGGACTGAAAGTAATACATCAGATTGTATTACCAATGTTGTGGTAAACAAGCAGTGATGTGATGTTTTATTAGGTGTCTGCGGACTGTTTAGTATCCACTGAAAATATTCGTATGTCTTATGGAAAATGGAAGAAAACAGAAATTAGAAAATAAGATATACCAGAAACAATGGGTTTCTTAGCCGACATTGCATGTTGTTTCTCATAAACTGTAAAATTCGTTAAATTACATGCCGTAGACCACGAACACATGCAGGAACTGGAGAATATGATTGCTACAGAGATGGATTAAGGCATAGTTAGGCTATGGTGTTGATTAAAGTTTTTGATCAAACTGTGCGAAAGCTGCAGTCTTCATGCATTCTGCACTAGCTGAACATCAACCAGTATTCGAGATATCGATAATTTTTGCAAGCGTACCGATGGTAGGTAGGAATTAATTACGGTTGGAAAATAATTTGAAAGCTCAAACTGTGAAATTGCTTATTTCGATTACTGAACTTTGAGAATTTTATGATGCACTATTCGCAGAAAATTACAATCGTCCTATCAAGAACTGCGAAATAGAATCCAAAATTGGAATCGTAATCATCACAAAAATGCTGTCACACCAGATGTCAGGATTGTACCATAAATGTACAGAATAAGAATTTTGTAGTCATGCAACAGATTTGAATGATATAAATGATGCTGTTCCTCGTGCACATGCCATAAATATCGCATGTTTACGATATAAAGCACGTTATGATGCATTCGGCACAAAGTATTAAAATGTTGATGTATTATTGTATACAACAGAGTGTCAGTTCTTTGAAGAAGCCGATGCAGTTGAAAGAGCATCGTGAAAGATCTGATTGAGAATTTAGGGAACGTTGAAATTTTCATTTGAAGCTGAATGAAATTTCAGAATATTGAGCAGTCAGAGGAAATCAGACAGCAAAAGTGTGGCGCAAGCATTCGATAATCATATGCAATCCGAAGAGAAACTTGATCTTATACGATTGGCATTATCAAAATACAGGTGAGTGTTGTTTGGTTGTTTGATTGTTCGTGTTTTTGAAGTGAGTGGGCGTTTATTACTTCTTTTTTTCATTAATCAGGTATTGTTCATTGGTTGTTTTATGTTTATCCATTCGGTTTGTGTTTTTTTGTATTTTCTATTCTTTTATGTTTACATTCCAGTATGTACTTAATTGCGGTAGTAGCCAAATCATGTTCACTATGTGCCATTGCTAAAAGTATGGTTGGTGTTGGCACAGCCATCGATGTTAGAAGCTTTTATCTGAAGGAATTTTCTGTGGTCTTGAATCGGTCATCGGTTTCTTTTTAAAACACTCTGTTCGGAGCAATCTTTGAAATTACGGCCAGTGATCGCTGTGCTATAAATTTCAGTCGAATTTAGAATATGAATCTGGGTATTTTTTTAGTGATTTAGTGATTTGGAATTCAGTGATTTCAGTGTTTTGAGTGCGCTTAGTAATCAGCAGTTATGCGCATTTGCGTTGAGATGTTTTCAGATTAGAGCGAGAAAAAGTCGTAGTGTAATAGCGTCAAGATTTTAGGGACTGTTTTTTTCCAGATTCTACATGTGCATAAAATTATGTATGTATTTGTTTTTCATAAAGAGAACGAAATCGTAAATTTTGCTGTTTTAAGATGGATGTTTTCTTTGTTTGTCTTATGATTGTGTCACTTGGTGCCTATTTCCATTTGGGATTTCAAAAGTCGTTATATAAACGCTGACTGTTATTGAACGAAACAGAAAGTGAATTTCAAATAAGATGGAACTGAATCACCAAAAAAAGGAATTTTGTGTGGGATCTTCCAAAAATGTGAAAAATGAGTCATATGTCAACTTTGAACGCTGAAATTTGACAGGGGAAAATTTTCGAACAATTTGAGATATTTGCAATTTATTATGTGGATTGCCTTTATTTTTTACTGACAATGAGGAAGCGAAGCATTGCATGAGTAAAAAAAGGCCAAATATCCGCATGGTTGAGAAACGCAGTGCCTGTGGCTGTAAGTCATAAATCAAAAAATTTCCGTTGCATGTCATGAATGACTGCGTAGTTTAAACAAGGATTGGGTCTGAGACCTGCGAGCACTTACGGGGTTTCGGGTGCCCCGTATTGTAGCTCCTACCTTGGAGGTCTGCCATCTCTGGAATCACCGGGCGTAATTTCGATCTGGGTTCAAATCTAGTTAAAACTCTGCGTTATTACAAACCTGTGAATTCATCTGATCGTGTGCGTGAATTACGGATGTCCGCAAAAACTGTAGTCACGAATCGCAGCCAAGTTAAATTTTGCAAGTCCAAGATATGACATTTTGGTATGCGAGCTATGAGAAGACAACAGCAAATTGCCCAATCAGACGACAGATTGAAATCTAAGTTGAGAATTCAGTTGAATAGCAACGGTAGTGAAAATAACGGAGTGAATTTCGTGAGCTGAAACTATGTTACTAAATTTATTTCGATTGTTAGAGTACTGTAGTCATTGCAGTCAATAAATTGAAGTTTCGAGTAGATTCTGTGCAGTGAGCCATATCAAAAAGAGATAACATTCAAACTTCCGATTGATTATACCCTATGATCAGGCTATAAAAATATTACATCAAGACCATGAACCAATATAAATTTTGTGGTGATTACAGTGGTGAGAGATAATATTTTGTGAGTCTCAACTTTGAATGAGATCAAACGAGACGACGTTTACTGACAATCAGCAAACTATGAGTAATACTACGAGCATCCTATGAAAACCAAAAGCACACTACAACCTGAGTTGCAAAATATAAATTTCTAAACCGTACTACATATGAAAATTGCAATGCAGTTGTCGATTCGATCGCAATTCAGCCTTCATACTACGAAATGTTGCGATCATCTCCATATTGATGCAAAGTAAAGAATAAGGTGTTCGTGCTGGAAGCATCATACAGACTAGAAGAGTTCAAGTCTTAGGTTATGAATTCAAATTACTTTCATTCAAATGGACTATGTCTACACAGCGTTAATGGATTATTACTGTTTAGCTTGATTTGTATTTGTTTGAGCATAGGGAAAGAGAAACGCTAGGTGTTAGTTTTGTCGTTGTGCAATCATATTAAGAATTTTGAGATCGTTAGGGCAATTACAAGTTTAAATGGTATTCGTTATGTTTCAGCTCTCAACTACCAGCAGATTCACCAAAGAGAAGTGAAATCAAAGAAGCGTTATTTGAAGTTGAGCGTGTACCAACGTCTGCAGCTAGTAGAAACTTATTAAATGATCGTCTCAGCCCACCGAATTCACTGCCAACCAGTCCAGCGCAGGTTCGTTGTATTCATTTTTTACAGTCTCATTATTGTTGTCATTATTTGTTTTATTATCATTTCCATTAATTCATTTTCATGTTCACCATAAAATTTTCGGTAATTAAAGGAAAGTGCCTCAAAAACAGCGAGTCTGCCACGATCGATTGCGTCTAATCGTCGTTACAGTGCATTCCCACCGTCGTTGGCTGTTACGGGTAGGCTGGAAGTCAGGTAGTTACAGTCGTCGCAGTTGTTCTTAATGGTGTTGCTGTTATGATCAGCGTTGTTATTGTTTTCTTTTCCTTGCTATGTGTTGCGGGGTTCAGAGATTTTCTGGGAGCTGTCCCCGAGTTTCTTGAGCCGACCACATTTTCAGGGTTCTTGACTGCAAATTTTCGTTCCCGATCTTTTTTCCGTCCCCTCAACACATTGGTTGTTTCTCACTTTGATTACTGTTCATTACTTTTTGTCGCCTTTGGTCATTTTTTTATTTTATTTTTGTTATCATTCTTTCAGAATAATCGGCTGTCAAAACCTAATATGTGAAGTACCGCGCCGTATGCCTCGACCTGAAATTTCGTCAATTATTGCGATGGGCGGCGATACGTCGGCAATGATACCAACGTCGCATAAGGGTAGACGTGATCGTGGGCTAGGTCCCCGAACCAGTAGGTGCGTTGAGGTTTCATTATCGTTTTTCGAACTGTTACTTGGCAGATTGATCCGTGCAGTTGATACTTTAGTTGTTGTTTATTCAGTTTATCATCATTTGTTTACATGTTTACAGTTAGATATAATTTTGATCATAGCCTTGCTTAGGCTCAATAAAATTCGTGATAATGGTGTACTATTGCGATTCGAGATCTTTCTTCCAAAGGAAGTTTTGCCCGAAACCGAACGTTATACCCATGTCATTAGTTTTACTATCATGTTTAGTACCATACTCATTATCAATCGTCTACTCAAAATCAATTTACCGCACTTCCATTATAGTTATGTTTCATTGTTTCCTCTCTCAATTATATCTCAACCGTTATGTTTCAATTATTGCGATGAGCGGCGATACGTCGGCAATGATACCAACGTCGCACAAAGGTAGACGACGTGATCGTGGGCCGTGTTATTTCATTAATGTTTGATCCTTCCATTTCATTCCTTCCAATTTCTCCTTCCCATCTCCTCTGTTTTCCTCTGTTGTTTTTTCCTCTTTCCCGTTTGCTTATTTCCCAAAACATACCATATTCTCTGCTTTCGGTAATGAAATGAAATAAATGCGGTGAAGTTTTTACTTAACATTTTTTCGCGTGCGATTATTTTGATTATGATTCACTGCAATTTCGTGAGACATTTATTGCAAACTTCTTTTTGTCCATTTTGTAATAATTTAGCTGAATTCGTCGAATAGCCATCATCTGATCGTATCGATAAATGTTGATCGTTGATCGTTGAATAATGAATATGAGTTGCAAAATTTTATTTTTATCGTTTATGTGTGAATGTAATATTTGAAATTTTCTCGAATTCATGTTAAAGCAATTTTGAAGGCTCTCGAATGCTGTTCGATTAGCTATTGTTTCGTTCGTTTGTTGAATGGCCTTGAGTATCCCTTGAATAGGCAGTGCATTTTTCCGGTGATACATCTGCACTGTTCGGTGACAATCCTTAAACGTCCAGTCAGTCAGTGATTTGTTCGTTTGGTTTCTTATTCGTAGTTCATCTCACCGTAAGGCTTAGGCTAACCACTCGCTCTGCCGCAATAATTGCAGCGTTCTGCTGCAGATCGCTTGTTGCTCGGTTTATAAAGCGTTATTTTTGAAGCCATTTCTGGAAGAGTTATTTATTGATTTCGTTGGTTGATGTCGTTTCCTTTGTTTGCTTCGACGAATTCATTGTGAATATTTCAAGAAATGTGAATTATTGCGCTAATTAGTGATTGTCGCGCGTAGTCACTATTAATGTCTAGTTGTGGTGGACATTATTTCTAATAATATCACCGATATTGCTTGATGCCGTCCGTTCCTGATACAGTCGTTTCCAACATTTCTGGTCTTATTATCTCGTTCCGCTTATTGTTATTCCTGTTGTGGATTTGGTGCAGTGTATTAAGTCTAACGCTTTTTTACTTAGACTAGCAAAAATATGAAATTACTTTCTGAACTGAGAGGAGATACTGATTCAGTCCTCGAAATTTTTATTTATGTATTTTTTTAAGTTTATATTTTAAAAAATTCGCTTCAGTTTCTTGGAATACGTTGAGAGCTTAATTTATAAAATGGTGTTTTTTGGCTGATTTCGGGAAAGGGTCGTACAATCAAGAAATTAATCAAGAGTAGAATTGAATGCAGCCTGTTGATGTGTCCTACTGGAATGGGTCTAGTTTATTTGGTGACAGGCCCTTGGGAAACCGATTGCTCAGTGGTGCGTTGTAACTGCTCTCATTACTACTGATTGAAGAAGTGATGTTGATGTTGCCATCATCACCATAACGGCTATTTTGGAATAGTAATCTTTATCGAAACCAGTTTCTCACCAAATCTCACCAAACAGTTTTCCTTAGACCAGTACGAACCATCTGACGTTGTGTTTGCTCAGTTACTTTTAACGTTACCGAATCTTTTGAAATTTGAACTCAAAACAATTACATAAAAACTGATTTGAACTACATAGTTATTGCGTTCGTATCGATGCAGTTAATATTTTGATCGGTACTTGATTCCATTTTGAAGTTGTGGAGATATTGCACCTCGATCACGACTAATGTTACTGTGTGGTATTACTCTTATTGGTACTGAGATCATAGCAAAAGCAGCTTTGAATTGAGTTGTTGAGCAATTTGCTTGTTAAACATTAATTTTAGGGTGAGATCATCATCAGTTTGGTGTGCAACCTACTCGTCATCGCCACCATCAATTAACAATGCTTTGTGCGTTTCGTTTTATGTTTAACAAGCAATTTTTCGATTTTGCGTTTTGCGTTTGATTGGATCTAGTTCTTGAGTTGTTTTTTGCTTGGGAATTGGTTTGTTTGAATGATTCGTTGGTTAATCTCGTTTTGTCTTGACATGATTGCTGCTGCGGTGGCATGACATACTCTGCTGGCTGTTTATGCTTCTAAATGTGAAGTGCTCTTCGTATGCTATGCAATTTTCACCTTTATTTCGCTTCTGTTAACTGAGTACCATTCTATTCGGTTGTGGATGATGATTAATGCTTGTTAACGATTTGTTTTGCGTTTTAGAAACAACGCATCAGCTAAAAAACGTCCTACCATTTGATTATAGTGTCCCACTTTTCAGTGCTTTTAATTTTAGCTGTAGATTGCGATTAACGCTTGAATTCGGCAACGCAAATAGGGAGGGAAATAATTGAGGCTAGCTGTGAACTCTGCTTTCACTTCACTCTTTCATTTGATTTTGAAGAGGCAAGTGGAAGAGGCATTTTCGCTGTCGTATTCGTGTTTTTATTTGTGTTCTATCGCAGTTAGTCGACTGGAATTGTGCATCGTCTTGTTCAGAAGAAAATTGTGTCCAGACCAGTGCTTGGAGTCTTCTCGTGAGCTTTCGATGTGGAATCTTTGCTAAAAGTGTCAAGAATCTTGAGCATTGATTATTAATGTTTGAGATATTTTGACAATGCGACAGCATTCAAGGATTACATGTCGTCGGTAACCGTTTATTTCATAGTCTATTGGGAAATTCGTTGACTAATTTTTATTTCATCAATTTATTTACTGCTTTAATGATAACGAGTTCATTCATGCACGTAGTGAGTTATGATTATGACTGACTTAGAATAGTGCATTGAAGATTTTTATCGTTTTGGAGCAGATCATGTTTGGCTCATTTTAGTTGTTTCAATAGTCTTAATTTTTAATCCCTTTTTGGAGTGGTCACTTTCCCTTCTGCATAATCTGTCATAACAACATTTATCTTGATGACTATCTTCGACCGCAACATTTATAACAATGATCTGCCTGGAGTGATTTCCATATCTGACACAACTTTCCTCAGCTTATTGTCATGAAATGTGATTTCCTTGATATGCACCCAACTCTGTCATACCGTTTTTATCACCTCTTCTGTCATTTTCCGATTGATTGTCTTCGTTTGTTTCTGTGTAGCTGTCTGTATCGTTTTCTTTGCAAGGATATGTAGATGAGTATTATTTATTTTCGAATGTTGAATGCAAAATAATTCAGGTGAATCCATAGTGGTGAATATTTGTGAATAGTTTATTCATGATAAATATGCTGGTTAAATAGTAATGGTAGATATATTGCAGCTCAGCCGTGCGAATGTCAGTAACAGATGAGATCTCGGCAACGTTGCGTATTGACAGCCGTGAGGTTGGCTCGACTGACTACCGAGCGATATCCCGGCAAGCGTGGGATCAGCGATTTTCGATTGATCTTGATAGGGTAGTGTCATTATTCGTGACATTTTCTTCTTTTTAATTCTGCATGCAAGCGCATTGAATTGGAATTCTCATCAATGGAAACAACGTAAAATCGTAACTGCGCAATGTTCATTTGTATTTTCAATGGGAATGCAGTTATTGGAACAGTTTGCAGTGTGAATATGTTCTCGAATTTTGTATTTGGTCAGTGCTGCTCGAAAATTGAGATTAATGCTTGTTCACTTTTCAGTCGAAGGAGCTGGAAATAGAAATAAAATACCGCGATTGGCGTTCGTTGTGTGCATTTACGGTCGTGAAATTGAGTGATTTCGTGGAGCCAGTTAAACGCTCTGGAATGGAGCTGAACTTGGAACCACAGGGACTGCTTTTCGCTGAGGTATTATTTTGGTTGTTTCCGAAGAAATTTTCTTGCTCGGAAATGTTCAAGTTGGCTCCGGTTGAGCATGTAAGATGAAGTTTAAAAAAGATTGTTTTAGTTCAAATATCTGAATCCAGTGGTTAGTCGTAAACCGCGATTGGAAAGACAGAAACGCCTCTTCAGAGTGAAAGGTAAAGGTAGTTATTTACTTTGCTCTAATCGATCCGTTTCTTCAAATGCATTAAAGAATTTTTTTAAGTTGAGGTGGTCGTTATTTGAATGAAATTGATACTCTCATTAAACAGATAAAAAAGTAGATGATGAATATTTAAAATTTAATGAATCGGCATTTATAAATGATATATTCCTGAAGAGTCTCTTGTTCATAGTAATAGAATGGTAATAAATTGAATCAAATTATGTTCTTAAATCAACAAATACAAACATTGGAATGACTGATTGAGGAATAAATTAATATAAAAATTTTCATAATCCTCATTTTTGTCAGAGCATTATATATTATTATTGACAAAAATATATGTCACGTGCGCAGTTAAGAATAATACATTGTTGTTCGACGTTTCGGCTTTATGCCACCTTAAGGAACATCATTTGAATCACTGATGGCCATGTCGAGCATTTGATGCAGGGATCAAGGGTCAGGGATTATGGTGGCTAGTTTAGGAGATTATAGGAAGGTCGATGGTTATGGTAAATGATGATGTGGAGGATAATAATAGGTAATGATAAGGAATACATATGTGAGATTGTTGTAGGGAAGTGATAATATTGATGGAAATAATGAGACATAAACTTTTAGGTTAAGGTAGAGAATTTAGGTTAATAGTAAAAATTTAGGTTGAGACATAAACTTTAGGTTAATAGTTAAAAAATTTAAAAGGTTCAGGTAGAGACTAGGACATAAATGAAATTTGACGGGGTGTACAATGCGGCGATGAAAAGTGAATTTATAAATACATAGGTGAATGAATAAATAAATAATAATAAGTAAATACAAATAAATAAATAGGTTAGGCAGTGATTTATGAGATGAATTTGAGGGCATCCACAATCTCTTCCTTGGATTTGATGGGGGATTTTGAGATTGTATGAATGTTGCCTGGATTATACGTCTTTTTGTGGTGCAATTGGGATGTGCGAGAATTTTTACTGTTGAGGTGGGGATGGAGTTTATGTAATGTGCTATTTTGTGCGTGTATTAGTGATAATGTTCTGAGATTGCTGTACAGTGCATAAAAGATTTGGTTTCGTTGCATTTCAATAGTCAGAAACTAAATGAGTGATGTGTTTTGAAGCTGGTGGACTATCGCTGTCACACTATAGCAAGATAGCGTCGACGTCGTTACCGATGCCATTCCGCCAGAGTGTCGTCGACCGTCCGGTGTCATCTGTCGTGCACTCAACTCCACAACCAGTCGCACAAGCACACCAAAATCACTACAGTCAAGATCAGTACCAATCAGCTCCACCAATGTTAAAATCACCGATGCAATCTGCAATGATGTCGCAGTCTGTATATACATCACATGCTCTCATTAGTGCGAATGCGGCCGAAATTGGAAAGCAGAAACAAAACGCTCAGCAGCAGCAACAACAACAACAACAGCAGCAACAGATTCTTGATAATAAGCAGTCACAGTTTATGATGGACGATATTAAGGTTATTGGGTTTTGATTGATTCGCTTAATTCCTTAAAAACTACGATTGAATAGATTCTATCATCGTATCACATTTTCTCACCGCTTGAGTTGAGCGTGCTGATAATGATATTGGTGGAATATTTCGAGAGTTTTCAGTGCTTTCAGTATGTCTCGTATGGAGTTTCAGTGGTGGAGGTCTACAGAGATTTTTGAGTGAATATAAGTTGGGAGGGATTAGACCGAGAGAGGAACCTGAATTTGGTATTGGAAATTGAAACATTGTTGAAATCGGTCAAATTGTTGTAGCAGAATATGAAATGAACCGTTCAAATTAAGGCCTCATTACCTCCCGCACCGCCGTCATCGACTCGTCGTCAGTCGATTCCACGCATTCATAAAACGTCAACGACCCCGTCCGGAATCGAACCCGCCACCTCTCAGCCGATACTCCCACCAACCGTCATTCCACCTAAAGAGAAGTACCAGTCCTACTCAAAGCCGCATCGAACATCCGCCGCTCTCCAACCGCCGTCGAATGTCACAATCGATAAATTCCGTCTGATATCCGTTCTTGGACGAGGTCACTTTGGAAAGGTACCAGTCATTGCGCTTATTTATTTATTTATTTCGTTATTTTCGTTCTTATGAGAGTTATTATCGCTTTATACGCTGAGATTTTCATTTCCGGCATTATTTCACGATTCGAAAAAATACGCCAGTTTCCCGAAAGGTCATTATGACCAAGTAGTCTTTCAATTTGTTTTCTCACAAGATTAGTTTTGATACCATCATTTTTGATATTCTGGTATAATACTTTACCATAATTGCAATCATAATAATAACGGTAATAAATTTAGGTGATACTCGCTCAGTATAAGCCAACAGGAGAGCATTATGCTTTGAAAGTATTGAAGAAAGGCGATATTTTGAGTAGAGATGAAGTGGAATCATTGATGGTTGAGAAGAGAATATTCGAGGTTTGGTTTTGATATTATTTTGTTATCACTATCATTTAATGTTGTTTATTGGTTCAGCTATTATTTGATATTTTCAAAAAAATGATGAAACAGTGAACATTTGCAGATCGCCTCTAGAAATCATCATCCGTTCTTGGTGAATCTGTTCGCTTGTATCCAGTCTCGTGAACATGTCTTTTTCGTGATGGAATACTCGATGGGTGGTGACTTAATGAGGCATATCCATGACGATATCTTTACAGAGGAGAGGAGTTGTTTTTATGCAGCGTGTGTCTTGTTAGGACTCGAATTCTTACATGCGAACAAGATTATTTATAGGTGTGTTTTGTGATTTGAATTTATTTTTTGCTCGTTTGATATTGTCGTTATGAATAGAATTGTGAGCGATGTTCAGCTGAGGACTAAATGAAAGAATATTTTCTTTTAAATTTGAAATAATAATGCGCGGCAGGAAACCAGCAAACCAGTTGTTTATATTTACTCAATTTGTACACAAGTGAGAGATGTGTTTAATCTTTATAATGCCGGTTTTTGATACGGTTTGATTTGAGTTTGGATAACCTGAGTTTGAGTTGATTGAGATTGCTAGGCGATCGGTTTGTTTGTTCATAATTTTTTGTGTTATCAACATTACCACAATTATCGTGTCATAGTGATGTGAATTTTGAATGTTTTCTTCAATGTTTATTGTTGAGATTTTTATTGCCCGCATTATTTACGCTTAGCGATGTGATCAGTTGTTATTTTCCGGGAATTTCTTCGTGAATTCTAATTTATGAAACGGATTGTTTGTTCATCGAGGTGAATATTAGTTTTTGCTTCGACATTTCGAAAACTAGAGCGATGATTGTTTGGTTCATTAGAATATGGAAAATTTATTTGATTTCGGTAGAATCATCTTTTTTCAGGGATTTGAAATTAGATAATTTATTATTGGATCGAGAAGGATATGTGAAATTGGCCGATTTTGGTTTGTGTAAAGAGGGAATGGGAGCGAATGATCGAACGTCCACATTCTGCGGTACTCCAGAGTTTTTAGCACCTGAGGTTTGTTTGGCTGTTCGTAGTGTGCGTTTGTAATCGTGATATTATTTGCATTATGGTGAAGTCGGTATCATCGTGTTTATTCAGCCATGTATAATATTTTTAGATGTGGATGATTATCATTGCAGATTCATATTTAAAAAATATTTTAAGGTTTTGACGGAGAATAGTTATACACGCGCCATTGACTGGTGGGGATTAGGCGTTTTGATATTTGAAATGTTGGTTGGTGAGGTGAGTGATTTTAATTATTTGTTTATTACATTGAATTTCCATTTTGCTGTGATTATCGTTGTTTTTATTTATCATTGTAGTTATTACTATCATTATTATATTATTATTATTGTATTATTATTAATATTATCATCATTACTATTATTATTGTTATTAGTTATAATTATATAATATTTAGTGATATTGGTAATAACAGAGAGGCATAAACTCGTAATGAGTTTGATTTGCTGATTAAATAAATATATAATATTATTGTAAAGATAATTAGTATCAGTACAGCAATGTGTTGTATTTGAAGCCACCATTCTCTGGTGATGATGAGGAGGAAATATTCGACTCGATTGTAAACGATGACGTGCGTTATCCGAGGTTCCTTTCAATCGAGAGCATTTCGATTATGCGAAGGGTATTTCATTATTCATTTTACGGTTTTATTCATATTTGCCTTTTTTTAAACATTGTTTGTAATTCAATTATTGCATTAGACATTAAGCAATGATATTATTGCAGTTAATGCGTAAAAATCCTGAAAAACGATTAGGAGCAGGTGAAAAAGACGCAAATGAAGTTAAGCAACAGCGGTTCTTCAAGGTTTTTCTTTCAAATTGGTTTATTAGAATATTGTATTTTAAACTTTCTTTGAATTATCGTTTATTAAACGATCACGAATTACACATTTATTGAGCTATATTGAGCTGCTTCGTATTAACGATCATATCAATAACTTGCAACTGTAATTTAGAGATTAATCTTGGCTGTAATAATCTGAGTATTATTTCATTTTTGGAAGTGAAAATTGAACAAATATTGTTTTTGATAAAAGCGATTATGTGTGTACTTGAATGATGTTATTTAGTGCCTCTAATTTGTTTTTTGAATAAATACAATTTGAAAATTATTTCAGCATATTAATTGGGATTGGGAGAAACTTCTGAGTAAAGAGTTGAAGCCGAAGTTTGTTCCAGTAATTGTGAGTTGTTTTTGGCATATTGTTTGTTCTCATTTCAGTTGTTTTCCATTGATTTTATTATTATTGTTGTTATATGAAGTAGGTAAGTGGGTGTCAGAAAACTTTTTGTCATTCATTGATATCCTTTTTAATTGTTTTAACATTGTGACGATCTTTATAAAAATGTTATATTCTTGTTCGCTAATGTTAGTATCATGTTAAATATTCGTTCGTTATCAATTATAAGGTTTATATTGAGATATCATTCATTATGCGATTAGCATTATGCGATTCGTATTGCGATTATGATGAAGGAATTTATTTTTTGCAATTGCAGAAGAATGCTGAAGACGTGAGTAACTTCGATGAGGAATTCACCAAAGAGACACCACGATTTTCATCAGCAAAAGATAAACGTCCAATACCGGAGACTAGCCAGCAATTGTTCAAGGATTTTGATTTTACATCAATCATCGAATGATCGGAAGGAGATGATGGTGATCGAGTGAATGACTGCGTTTGCTTGGATTTATTCGGCTGATCACTCATATGACGAAACGATTTTTTTCCGAATGTTTTCCGAAGCTTTTTGACAATTCAGAACTTTCAAATAAATCGTGTTCGAAATTCATTCTCGGCTTATTTGTGCTACTTGATTCAGGAAGTTTTTGCTTTTTTTCGGGATTTTTTACTTTGTTGCAATAGTGATGAGGTTTTTGTCGATTCATAACAGGTTTGGTGGACATTTATTGAAGATTTGTGTAAGTCAGTTAGGAACGATAGGGGAAGGTTCCATTAAAATATTTTGACTTGAAATGCGAATGAAAGTGCTCCGACTTTGATCGGAAAATGGCATGACTGTTACCTTAGAGAAAGGTAGTCGTTTCGTTGTATAGCCTTCGCTTTGTTGAGCAAAAGTTTGTGGTGCTGTGCGCAATGCTGAGAATATTTCATGTGAAGAAATATTTTAATTGTTCCTTAATATAATGATAAAGTTTCATTTTAAGATATTCAAATGTTACAGTTGGATTGGTTTGATGCAAAATAAGCCTTAAGCATCTGTTAATTATCCATGAATTGATTTCGCGTTTTCATTGCTTCATTTTTCATTGCAGTTCGCTTAGTCTCACAATAGTGGTAATATTGTCCGAGCGTTTCTACTGTATATTGAGAATTTTATTGTTGTTTTCATTGTTGCATTGACGTTATTATCATTATTGCTATTATTGCATTATTTTATTGCATTGTATGGTGTATGATCAATTTAGGCAGCTGAAATTTTGATTTTGGAAAAAAAACTCTGATCAACAGTTTTATAATTGAAACTTTTCGATCATCAGTGCTTGATTTGACTTTTCTCTCAATCGATATTGTTCNCTCGATAAATCATCCGTGTCAGAACGTTAGTTATTTTAATACAACGGTTGAAGAAGTACCATCAAAATCGTTGAAACATAGTTTTGACGTAAGTTAACGTGACGTGAATGCACTGTGTTGCATTGCAATACCTAATGTCTGGTAATCGTATCGTCCTATCATCAATTTTGTTTGGTAGTCCTTAAAAGTTTCAATTCAAATTGATTTCTACTCGATAGGTGTTTAGAGCTCAGTGAAGTACACACTCGATGTTGACAAGCATCTGTATCGTTTAGTTGGATTAATTTATTTGGTAGAGAATGTTACAAGCGTTTGATTTCGTGTAGAAATATGCATTGTTCGTTCGTTTTGCGTATTGGGTATCATGACAATTCACATTTGTTTAGCTGTTTTTATTGTTATCATTCTAATAATTGTTAATGGAATTTTTGAAAGTTGTTATTATTCACTGTTATAAATGTAATGAATTGTAATTTTTTTCAGATTTCTCCTTCAAACTGCTTTCGTTCTGTTAAATTTGCGTTCTGCTCTATGAATTGATAAGATTCTAATTCACATCGAATTCCCTAAGTGCTCTTTTCGCTCAAAACACTTTCTTCTACGCCAAGCAGTAACCATCGGTTACAGTCCTGTTCGTTATCTATGCAAACGAGAACAAATTAAAGTATTAATTATTGTTATTATTATGGATGTTATTGCTTTTATTATCATTGTTATTGACTATGAATATTTACTAGTATTTATTGCTGATGTTGGTATAACGTTGGTATAATCACTAATTTTNTTATTATTATTATTATTATCATTATTACTTTTATTATTATTATTGTCGTAATAGTATTACATTAGAAAACATGTTTTGATGATATTGGAGAAATGTGATTGGTTTTTTTCTGAATTGGTTTTTATCATCTGTTCATTTGATATTGTTGATTTATGATCTGTATTCATTTGTGTACATTGATTCCTTTGATATTGGTGTAGCGGATCAGAAGGTTACGTTATTTTATCGGTTAATATTAACTAGGTTCTGTGAGCATTTTTACTCGTTTGGTTGAAAATTATAGTGATTATAAAAGCTTTCGGCTTGAAATTGTTCATTGTAACAACAGATGATTTCTGATCGAACGGAATTTGTCATTTCTGATTGTGTGATTGAACATTTGAATTTCAGTGAAAATGAATAGCGATGTTGAATCAGTAGAGGAATATTGGAAAAGTTTGCGCATTTGTAGCGGTATGGAATTGTTTTGTTGAAATAAAGCGGTACCATAAAATGAGTTCTGGTGGAATAATTTTCAGAATGTGCATGGGTTTTTTTTTTGGAGAATTCGCCTAGAGCCATTAAGTTTCGATTTTTTTGCTCTGAATCATTAAAAATTCAAGGAATTTTCCACTTTTGAGATGCATTTCTCAGGGGATTTCCATTTGACGGAAAATTCTGAATTGAGATCTGTTGTTCATTTGAGTTTCTTCGTTGTGTTGTTATTTTTTGAACTAAATCTTTTCACTACTCAACAAAGTTCGTTGGAAAAATTTTATGCAGATACATAACATTTGACATTCGTTTTTTTTTNTTTTTTTTTAGTTTGCTGTTTTATCATTTTCTCACTGATCATTTTTCTCGTCAAATTGTGTAAAATCAATTTGGTTAGTTCAGTGTATTCCACGTAACTTTGTGTGTTTTTTTTAAATCAAAGTTGTTTGGAGTTTTTCAGATGTTCTCGCTGAAATCGAAATGTTATTTAGTTTTTTGATTGTCAGTTCTGCGTTATGAAAAATTTATTTGACTGAATAAATGAATTGTCTCTGGTTGAATTCATTCAATGGCGAGTTGAAGTATGCTTTCTTGATTAGCATCACGATGCAACGAACGTGTTATTTTTGTTGTTATCATATGATATGATAGTTTATTGCCGAGTAAGAAATATGTACAAGCAATAACACAGCATGAAAGGCGGAGCGCTCTGACATCATACTGGTTGGTTGAATGAGTGAAAAATAATAATGAATTAAAATAAAAAGTCGAATAAATGATGGTGATTTAGATATAACTCTACGCTGTGATGTATGAAATAGTACAGTTATTTTACTGATGTCAGAGCGCTCGTATGTATGAAAGACTTTTAACGTGCAGTCAGCTTTTGAAATGCCAATCAGCAGATGCTGACAATTTGAAGTGACTTGAGTTTAGGGTGAAGTTTTGCTCTAGGTGAACACGAAGGCTCACGTCAATGCTCGGCATCTGCCTTAGGTTAATGCTCAAGCTGGGCACAGTTCTCCATTCAACAGTATTCGACACTTTCCTCTACCCAAGTTTCGAGGGACAGTTTTATGGACAGATGGATAAAGCTAGTGGGAGATACCTGCAGTTTTGCATAGAGGAACCAATGATTAACGGAGGCGCATTGGAATGATGTGAGGGAAAATATGAGGAAAAATTTTAAGATTCTTTCGATACCAGTTATTATAGTGTGTGAATAGTGGTTCCGTTTGAAAGTAGTAAAGTAAGTGATTTAGGATGACAGATGTTGATGAGGAAAATCCGCCACTGGAACGAAAATTCTTCTTCGGGGTAAGTCTGGTTTGTGTAGTTCAAATCCTTTGACTGCACATATTTGAATGAAATGTGAACGATTCAGTTGATCTGTTCAGATGGAATAACTCACCATCAGTAGAAAAATTTCTGTGTTTTGTCGAACATCTACAATCTTACATTTTGGCTAAATTTGTTTGATTCAGCCGAAAAGAATTTCTTTTTGTGGTTCAGTTGATACGAAAAAGTTCATTTCAGTTATTCAAAAACCCAGATCCAGGATTTTCAACGACCGTCATTTCGGTGACAACAAATTTCATTCTATCGAATATGTTCGTTTTTGGGATTACGGGCAATTGGCGTGCTGCACTGTGAGTGCTTCAGTTAATAAATTTTATTATAATAACATAAAAGTTCATTTGAAATCTTGTTCATCAAGCAGTAGCCTTGGTTTTGTATTGGATGATGTTTTGTTGTCGTAGTCGAGTGAATTTGTTCGATGTTCAGTGTTTATCACTAATTTTACTGGAAATTTTGATGTGAGAATGGTCTGTGATAGATTCAAATAATCATTCGAATTGCAGTCTGTCAGGAATGTTAACAATCCCAGTCTCATCGTATTCATGCATCAAAGATGCAGCAGATGACTTCGAACGATGGAAAGAAACGAAAGCGTTGCGCCTTCGAGGTGTACCTGAGCGTTTCATACCGCACAGATCCAAATTTGATTGGACTGACTATGAAGCGTATATGATTGACAGTAACACTGGCAATCGAGCGTCTTCTCGCTCTTAGTTCTGTTTGTATCATCAGTGTGAGCTTCTTACAACTACATTTGTATATTTGAACCCCGCGCTGCTTCTCTGTAAAAGATGGCAGCTGAAGTTGTTGGTCAACTCGAACTAAAGTGCGAGGCTTGCGATAGAATCTTTCCTGAAATCGAGGATACCGGATGCTTTGTATATTGTTTTCTGGAATCGCACATGGTCTTCGAAAGTTTCTGTTCCAATTCCCGAAAAAATTGTTGTGAACGCCATCGAGCTGATAGAAGGGGGTTGTTAATATTGTATGTTCGAGTTGTACATAATCTGATGGATGATAATCTTGATTGATTGCCTTGTATCATGGACTCTGTTTATTAGTGTCAACTGGACATGATTTGATTTGTACGATAACACGGTCGGTGGTTTTGATCGTTCGTCATTACCACTAATGTATTTCTGTTGAACACTATGGACTGATAAATCTGATTCCAGTTTGAACTTCCAGTTTCATACCTCAATATTCATCTATTTGTATGCATGTTTATATTATGGCATAATTGATAATAAAAGTCACTAGTGATCACGATGAATGAGACGATGTTATTCATGATGCGATCTGCGCTTTCGTTCACTTGATCTGATTTGAGCGCGAACTGATGGAGCATTATGTTAGAGACGATGAGTTATTCAAACCGATCATTTTCATTGTTTTATAGCTGTCACTGGTTAGGCGGTGCATTTCAGCCGTTGTATTGTTGTAATAGCTTGTATTATTTTCATTTAATAGTATACATTAATTAGGATCGTCATTGTTGTTCGAGTTTTTGTTCTTATTTGAACGTTTGCATGTTCCGTAAAGTTTGTCGAGAAGTGTAGTAGAACAAAGGAATTGCTTGCTGAGGGGTGTTGAAATGTGATAAAACAGAGGAGGACTGGCGAGATGCTTTATTCGACGGTACAAGACCAATTACAGTTATAAACAAAGCGACAAATGGATTTACAAGACATTATTATTATTATCACGATCTCAGCTACTCGGAAACGTAGGAGAACGCCAGATAAATCTGGTAAGTAGACGGGCCTTTCGAGAATTAAAAAGAGTTTTGTGTGTGGGGAAATATTCTCGACTAACAATATTGGTTGCTGTCGAAACTCGTAAATATGTAGTGACAATGATAATGATTGTTTTGTAATTTCGGCAATAAGATGGTTTATAATGCTACGAAGTATATGTAAAATAATAGTGATTCGCAGTGAACGGTGGTTGCCTAAAAACTAACGATGGTTTTACTATATTATACGAAATAATGAAGAGATTTTAAAGGAATGATAGGGTACAGAGACTGAGGTGACATGAACTATCCTATGATTCTTGGGATTGACCCTGGTACGATATTAATAATAATGTCTTTTTCTATCGTGGAATTCCTTAAATACTAATTGAAAATGGACGTGAAGTATTTTTTATACGTCTTAAATTAGAAAGAGGAAGTTGTTAATCACAAATCCATAAGGAAGTTGCCGACTTTGAACGTTGTTGATCACATTATAGTAGCAGCTGTCACTCGCGGAGTACACGACAGGGCCCGCTTAATATAGCTTTGTTTGGGCTGCCTCCACCTCTTCGCATTTTACTTGAGGACTCGAATGCGAGACGAACCTTTCTAGCTGCGCTTGTTGATTTGACAACGGTTTGTATCGGCATATAGCAGGACCGTAGTTGTTCTTCCTGACCAGTGACTTCTTCGAAAAAAATTTTTTCGAAAATTTTCGAAATTTCAAACCCTCATAACTTGGCTACGGCTAATTATTGAGAGGTGTCCTTGTAGGCGCTTACATAAAAGACTCCCCTCTTACTACCTACTATTTTAAAACCTGGAATGGCCACAAAAGTTGGATCGAGAAAAAACCACAGGTAGCTGCTACCTGCGGAAAAATTTTGAAAATATTTTTGGCCATATCTAAGCAACGACATGAGATCCAAGTCTCATATTTAAATGGTAGGCAGTACTATGTAAGAGCTTCGTCTCAGTGCTCTTAACTCGAAAAAAAATTTTTCGAAAATTTTCAGCTACATTTCTGCAGTCCAGCTGCTCCTGTAATATTTCTGCCCACTTTTGTAGGAGATTT